AAAAACAGGCAATGTAATTAAAAACAGGCAAGAAAAGATAGATGCCATCACGGCGGAGCACATTTAGAGAAAGAGTATCGGATGATAGAAGTGAAAAGGTTCCTTTTTCTGACAAAAGTTGGTGTTAATATTTATTGTTCTGTGTTAATCTCCAACATCAAGGATGGTGAAGACACAAAAAATGTACACAGGCCCTTCGGAAGAGGGGCAGCCTGCAAGGAGAAGCCCCGAGGGCAGCCATAGGACAAGCTGGTGTCCCTTGCTGCCTCCTCTGTATTGGGGAAGGGAGAGGCTCTCTTGGAAGGAAAGTCTAAACAAGCCAGGGCACTTTGCGCCAGTAAATCAGCAAGAAAAATAACAGAATCAAAAGGCCCTGACAGGTGACATTTAGGGCTTGAGGTTTACTGTAATAGGCAGGACTGGCAGCCTGCAGCAGAGCTAAACATCGAGGAGGTATTTTAAAGGACAACTGAAAGAGACTGGTGATGGGATTTCACAAAGATGAGTACTGAAAACTACACCACCTTGGACCCTCAGTCACTGTCATCCTCCAACAAATGATTTGAGATTTATCAGACACTACTCGTATTTTATGGTCAGGGTAGACTTTCCTTTTCAAAGCTCTGACAATGTACGAACTCCTAAGTACTCCGGAACAGCAACTGGTGAGATGAGGTCAAAGTACAAAGGAGCTGTAAAGCAGGAAAGAAATAGGAATCTCAGCTGTCAAATATTGTCTAAACCTGAGGGAGGGGGAAAAAAAAAGGCTAGATGAATTGTTTTGATGGAAGTTGCTTAGGAGTAAACATATGGGGCAAACTGTTCTCTGGATGAGGAAGTTCCATTTCCCAAGTGAACTGAAGGGTCCTGACATCTGGCTCAAGGAATCATAAAATCGTATCAGCTGGAAGAGATCCAGAAGACCATCGGGTCCAGACTTTGTCCCAGCCCTATCAACCAGCTAAACAATTCCTCTTAACGCAACATCCACTCAACTTTTAAACACCTCCAGCAGCAGTGACTCAACCACCTCCCTGGGCAGCCTGTGCCAATGGCCAACAACCCTTTCAGTACAGAAATTCTTCCCAATACCCAACCTGAACCTCCCCTGGCACAATTTAAATCCATTTCCCCTCGTCCTATCGCTCTCCACTAAGGAGAACAGACCAGCCCCTGCCTCTCTACAGCCTCCCTTCAGGTTTTGTCTGGCGTGGCCTGATGTAGTTTTTGACCTTACCGATAAGCAGTGACATCAGTTTTGACATTAAACTCTAGCAAAGGCGGCTAATGGCTGAAGGAAGTCAGGACCCAGTAGCAAATGCGTTCTGGGAAGTCCCTCCGCTTGAGTTCACTCTGGTCTTGGCACATGCTGGGAAGATCTATTCATAGTAAAAGTTGAGAAACTCCAGCTCATTATTGCATGGCAGTGTTTGTACCTAACGTGTCCGAGCCTCACTTGACCTTAGTGTGACACAGGCAGTGCATTCAGTGTCTGCCGGTGTTTAGGTCTAAAGATAAGTATTTTTAGCAGAGAACATCAGATATGATTATGAGCCACGGCAGCAATTCTTACCCTAAAAATGTCATTCTAGGAAAAAAAGAGCAGAGCTTCTGCAGCAGTGAGCAATGGTAGTTCTAACATGAAACCACATGGGAAGATGGGTAAAGAAAACAGAATTACACCTCAGATTGTTGTACATAATATTTTACAGTTCTCACCGAGGCTTATGAAAACATCTTGCTTCTACATCCTAATGCATGAGTGCTTTTCTGTAAGAGAGTAAATGCTTACTGCCACTGCAAACTTGGCAGAACTACATTTAATCCTGCATCTCCATCCTACACTTAGGAGCATGTCCTTAGCAAATGCGTTCTGGGAAGTCCCTCCACTTGAGTTCACTCTGGTCTTGGCACATGCTGGGAAGATCTATTCATAGTAAAAGTTGAGAAACTCCAGCTCATTATTGCATGGCAGTGTTTGTACCTAACGTGTCCGAGCCTCACTTGACCTTAGTGTGACACAGGCAGTGCATTCAGTGTCTGCCGGTGTTTAGGTCTAAAGATAAGTATTTTTAGCAGAGAACATCAGATATGATTATGAGCCACGGCAGCAATTCTTACCCTAAAAATGTCATTCTAGGAAAAAAAGAGCAGAGCTTCTGCAGCAGTGAGCAATGGTAGTTCTAACATGAAACCACATGGGAAGATGGGTAAAGAAAACAGAATTACACCTCAGATTGTTGTACATAATATTTTACAGTTCTCACCGAGGCTTATGAAAACATCTTGCTTCTACATCCTAATGCATGAGTGCTTTTCTGTAAGAGAAAAGTACTTTCTTATTCTTCAAACGTGGGGCATCATCTAGGCTTTTATTCTCTAAAAGAACAGCTACATTTGTGCAGCTGTATTCCCTGCCACTTTGTTCCATTTACTGCCCAGCGAACAATAAAATCTAACAAATAAATGTCAAACTGCTGTCAAGAGATCCTTGGAAATACCTGCATCTTTTAGAAAGAGAACATTGCCAGGAAAATTTCCAGTCTTGTGCCAGCAACAACTGCGTGCATTAGTCATCACTTTCCACTGAATAGGTAGATTGCCAGAAGTGGCAGCACAGCCTTTCAGCACCGCATGGGGAACTTTTGCAATCGGTTCCATTTTCGTGACCCAGCCAGTCCTTGGCATTTATTTTCCAGCAGCCAACAAGAGTACTTTGTGGCAGACATACCTAGTGAGAACTAGACTTATGTTCACTAGCCCTTTTCCTGACACCTTTAAATAACTGATACAGTTAAATAACTGGCCGAGTCAGCCATAGCTTAATATCTTCACCAGCCTGTTTGGGAAAGAAGAAATATTCAGCCCTTCTTGACACTCTAGGCACGTGCAAATAGTAGTGAGTACCCAGCAAAAAGCCAGACCTCTCCCAGAACACAGCTGCCAGCTTTCAAAGGAATCACTGGGTTTTGTTAGATGTGCAAAACTGCAAAACAAAAAAGATCAATTTTTGCTTTGCTGCTCACAAATTCATGGTAGACATGAGCCCATGTGGAAATTAAATTTGTGTGAAGTACTATTTAAAAATCAGTCATAAGTGTTTTGGGTTACAAAGTGGCACAGAATTGTTGCTTACAGTGCAAGGCTTACAGTTTGTTCATCATTATCAAAGACAATTTCCTAAGTTTCTCCACTGTTCTCACATTAGTCATTGTTCTTTAAGTCAGGTGAAAGGGGAGGCTCTAAGCATCACAAGAGTAAAAATTTGGCAATTAAATTGCATCTGTGGAGAGACTGAGAGAAGTTCAGAACACCACCTGAAATGAAGTGAGTAAAATTTCTCCTTGTCTCACATTCACTTAGTCTTTAAAGAAGAAGAACATATTTGCTCTGTCTGCCTCCCCATATGAACCGTTAGAAGACTTCCCTGTGTCATGACATTAGCTAAAATGAGTAAGCAAAAGCTCCTGACGAACGCGACAGGCTTCCGAGTCCATTGATTCCATTTGCTCATACTCTTCTTCCGGTTGTTCCACGGGTCCTGTGGCTGGTGAAGACCACACGTCTAGCCCATGTTCCAGGGAGATGTTGTGGAGCACACAGCAGGCCAGAATGATGTGGCTGGATTTCTCCGGAGAATACTGCAGGGTGCCTTTGGACCCATCCAGGCAGCGGAAACGCGATCGAATGGTTCTGAGCGTCCGCTCCATGACATTGTGAGTGGCAGAATGCGCCATGTTGTAACGATATTCAGCAGGTGTCTCGGGGATATGCAGAGGGGTCATCAGCCACGTTCGGAGAAAGAAGGAGCTGTCACCTGTTAGCAGTGGAAAGGAGGAGAACAGGTTATATATACCCACAGTTAACCACACATTTCAGCTCTGGGCCCTTGGTTTTCTGGTACTGCAGATACAAGAATAACTTCTCTGGCTAAATCAGAAGGCATGAGAAAGCATGGAAGAGCAAAAATAAGGTTGACAAAGGTGACAAACAACAAAATAAAAGCATTCAGTTTTACATAGGGAAGTCCTGAAAGAGCACAGAAGACTTTAAAGAGAATTCATTAGCTACATAATGCAATGGAAGACAGATGGGCTAGGATCCTACATAGAATTAAAAATTGCATAATTCGGTTTAGAAAGGTGTAGTAGGATAGTGAAAACAAGCTCAAAACCAAATGAGTGTAAACTAATGCATACTGTAATCAGACTGTATAAAACTAAGATTCGAAATTACTGTTCTAGACTTGTAAGAGAGGGATTGCCAAAACTGAATTGCAAATCTCAAGGAATTTGCAAGAAAGCAATCAAAAGTAAACATACCACTTGTGTCCAGAGGCTCTAGACTCAATAAGGAGCTGATATATAATAGACTTTCCACAGAAAACAATGAAAAAATCGACTTACCAAGTAGCCAGCCGTCTTTATGTAGCTCAGTTTCAAATCGGCTTCTAAGGGCTGCCTTCTGTAACACGGCACAGTCAGGCAGGCTGCCTGGCCAGTGTGTTTCTGCACTCAGGAGGACTCCTCTGGCATCACACACCAACAGGCAGTTCAGAGAATGGAGACCCTTTCGGTTTACGTAGGACAGGTCCTCAGCATTCGGTGCTTTGATTACCACGTGGGTGCAGTCGACCACCCCCAGCACTCCGGGCATGCCTGCCAGCCCATAAAAGTCATCCTTCAGGCTCTGTACGTCCTCAGGGAAGCGAATAAACTGTGAGGCTCTTTCCACCAATGCCTCGGTTACATTGGCAACACAGCGGCTCATGGAGGCTTGACTAATGCCAATGGCATCGCCCATGCGAGTCTGGAAGGAGCCAGAGGTATAGAAACCCAGCGCAGCAAGTATCTGCGTCTCCGGACTGATGGCCCTGGAGCGCTGCGTAGGGCGAGAGAGACTGGCTCCCAGGAGATCCACGAGGTAGTAAATGAACTGTCGGGGAAAGCCGTACATGGATACTAGATACTCATCCGTGACATCCTCCAGCTTGAAGCGGTCCAATGTCCGGTGTCCACGGCCATAGAGCAAAAGGTCGCAGTCAAGGATCGCGATGGGCACGGCCATGGGTGGCGGCCAGGAGGTTCCTCTCTTACCGAGTCTTCACCTGCGTAAAGCAAAGGGGAAGGAGACTCAACACGAGTTTTACTGGTCGGCCTCTCTGACTCTGTTACCATCGGCCTTTAAC